TTGTACTTCAGGATGGATCTAGAAGTGGTCGTTTTTACTATGAATGAAACTACACTTTTCTTCACTTTTTCTTTTCCACCAAAGAAGATTATATGATTATCTGATTCAAACTGACCAAAGCCAATCCATCTCCACTCACTAATGCCTAGTATGCCAATCTTTATGTATTCCATTTTGGTTTTAACAATGTCCAATTTTCCTACATTCATAATGTTCCACATTACATTTATTAGTGGATGTTTGCAAAGATTCCTCCTCATTTTGGTGTCTTCCCATATGAGGTATCAGTCTCTAGCATTCTAGCTAAATCTACATGTCTTGCATACTGTTCATCAGTTTTCCCAAGCCCTGTTATTTCAGAAGTGAATGGTCAATCCTTCTTCGTAGACTGTCTTAATCTGGGAGCTCTGCTTTAGTACTGCATTTGAGAGACAAGCACTGTACCCAAAAGACAAGATGGTAGAAAAGCAAGCATATATGTATCTAAGCTATTAAGAGCAGCAACATGCAAAAACACTCCGTCAATACAAGAAAGAAGATGAATGACCTAAATATGCTGATGACAACTTGATTTTTCTTAAACAAAGCATGAACTTTGGGGATGTAACTATAATGTGAAAAATTCCATCATATTAATGTTGCAAATATCTCCTAATTAGGAGAACTCTGAGTAAAAATTTCAGAATTGCTTAACAAGCCATTCTGGGAATGGCTCAGTTTGGAAGATAACTCCTTACAGAAAAGAAAGAACAAAGATGTTAAGCAGGGAGAAAATCTGGATAGGCTCTGATGCCAAGAAACTTCATGAATTTATTCAACTTTTCACACACAGTAATTGGGAGTTAAGTGAGCAAACTCCCAGGAGGCTGCAACCTTTTCTGTAGGCATTGCCTTCAAGGTTGGGGTGACTCCCTATTTCTTTGTTGCCTCTTCCTTATTTGAACACACATTTCCACCCACTCAACAAGTATCTTTGGCTTCCTTTTTTGAATACCTTCATCTCCTGTTTTCGGTGTTTTTTTTGAGGTTTTCTTTTCACCTGCATTCTCCTTCAGGAATAATGTGTTTCAAAAGAAACTAACAGAATGCTACAACTGGTACCTTATCCTCTCCTCTGAATTCTGTTGGCATTTTGTGAAAGAAAGCTCAGACCTCTGGAGGCAACTTCCTGAATCAACATGAATCTTTGCATTATAGATATCCTTGAAAGCATAATGAGGCACCTCACCATCCTTTGCTGGCCTGGCTTCCCAGACTAGGTTCGCTTGTGGCTCCATCCTTCCTTCCCACTCAGATGGAAAAAATAGTAATTTCTTTTTTTTAATATTGCGTAGGCTTCATGTCAATAATAAATTCACTAAATGCCACCTTCATAATATTTTCTAAGACATTAGACACCTCCTGGCCAATTTTGATCCCCACACATCATATCTCTGTTTTTACTTACCCCCCTCCCAATTATTGTTTAAGTATCAGTTCCCTCAGTGGCTGACACAGCAGATACACTATAGCAGTGCTGGTGACTCCACTTGACAATCTGGCATTTGATTCAAAGAGAAGGCCATACCACAGCTTTTTCTTCAAGGACTACAGCCTCATCCTTGAAATCTGTTGGTTGTATGCATTCACAGCACAAAGACTATGTGCTTTTTCCATAACCTTGAAAAAGTGACTTTACTTTGAGGATCATAATAATTTATCTATTGCATAGAAATGTTGTGAAGATTAATGAATTCATGTTTTTAAGGTGATTTGAGGATCCACTAATGAAAGATGCTATATAAATGCTAATTTTGTTATTCATTCCCACGCCTATACATGTTCTTCATGCTTTCTTCTAAAATGGTCCACCTAAAGCAATTATCAACTCTTAAACTCTTAAAGAAAGAAAATGAAAAGTTATAATTTTATTCTGAATCTTGAATTTCTTTCCTTTTCAAGATATGAGCCTTGTGATCTCTAAGTCATTTAAATGCAGATCTTTTGGGTGAATTACAGCTACATAGGCTGATTATAAGGAAATGTTGATTTGGGGGGAAAATTACAAACTGAACATTGCAACCCTCATAAATACAGTCTATCACTCATACACACAAAGGCTATACTATACCACATCCAGAAAGGTTTTAAAGCTCTTAGATGGAAAAATGTAAATAACTTACATATTTTATAACACGGTTATAACAACCAACATCTTTAAATGAAATTCCATTCACGCCCCTTTTGCACATATTAGAGTCGTTCTATTTAGAAAACTCTTGTATAGTCACCACTTATGATGTTATATTATCATGTTTATTGAAATTTCTTTTAAAACTTCTGCAAGTTTGCACAAATACTATGGAGTTAGTGCTTATGTGGTTATTTTTGTAGGACGTCAGCTAGTCTCTGGGATATACAAGTTACAAGTGGAAAAATGACTCTTAGACTCACATAAAATGACAGAATGTTCTTAACCAGAGTAAGAACACTTAGGAATGAACACCGCCTCACTGCATTTAGGGGCTGTTCTCTGTCTGAGCTAAACTCTTATTGTTTCAGCCATTTCAGGGAAGAAGGGCATCAGGGATGCATCCCGTCTCCGTACCTTTTCAATCTATATGTGAAACAGATCATTTGGGAGGCTGGGCTTTATGAGGAGGAATAACTGTGGCATTATAATTGTAGGGAAGACTCATAAACAACTTGTTTTATGCAGACACAACCTTGCTCGCTGAAACTGAGGAAAACCTGAAGCATCTGCTGCAGAAAGTCAGGACTGCAGTCTTCAATATGGATTGAAGCTCAACATCAAGACAACAAAGATTACCATCACTGGGCCAATTGGTAGCACCATAATAGATTGAAAAGAATTTGAGATTGTCAACAATTTCAACTCGCTTGAATTCATAATCAACACTCTTAGAATAAGCAGCCAGGAAATTGAAGGACAAATTGGTTTAGGAAAGTCTTCTGTCAGGGACCTTTCCAGAGTATTGAAGGGCAAAGATGTCAGTCTAGAAATTAAGGTGTTCCTGATCCACCTATGTTCTTCACAACTACTTGTTATGCATCAGAGAATGAATAAGGATGACAGAAGAATTGATGCTTTTGAGTTGTAGAGTAGGGAAGAGTATTGAACATACCATGGACTACCAAGAGAACAAAGAAGTCTGAAGAGAGTAAAAACAACTTTTCTCTGAAAGCAAGGATTTTGAAGCTCCATCTCACATACTTTGAACACTTAGCCAGGAGGACCAGTCCTTAGAGGACATCATGCTTGAAAAAAGTAGAGACAATGTAGGAAAGGAAGACACTGGTACATTTCCATCTGGTCTAGAATTTCTTTAACCCAATTGGGGATAACTTTGAAATTACTCTGCTCAACAAGTCATTTTAGCTTCTCTGGATGTCTCTTCCTTTTGACCTGTTACAAGGATGCCATTTTTGAGGGAGGGTGGAGAAAGTAGAAGCAATAGTCTTGGGCAATTTTGGATTACTATACCATATCATTAGACCATAAGTAAACTTCTGATTTAAAGTGAAGACAAACAACTCCAGTAGCTTTAAATAAGTGGCTTATGCAGTAATATATTTTAAAAATTGCTGATATGTGTAAAAGAATGGATATATTTCATTGAATATTGACCATATTATATGTGTCAATGATGGATTTACTGCAAAAACTCAAGATGAAGAATGAAAATATTTCCATACTCATCAGCAACAGATTATATAATAAGTAAAACTTAGACTATTCTTTAGGTCTTAGTTGATAAATATAATGAGAATATAATATGAGTTATATTGATAGCTGTTGGCTACTTTCTGGTTTTTTGCATTTGGGGTAGAAAGGAAGGTTGACAGAAGTTTCCTTTATTACTTCTGTTGTTGTGATTGTTACGGGCCACTGAGTCAAAATTCACTCACAGCTGATCCTACATTGGGATTTAGAGGCAATAAATTACACAGGGGAGACTGTGCATCGTCCAAAACATGGCCTTCAAGTAGGCAGTTCAGATCCCCACCACTAGATTGGTAGAGTTATGTGGTTATACCTCAGCTTTCAAACTCATACAATGATTGATTACAACTTTTCTAATGATCCAAAATGAAAAATTAGAAGGAAAAAGCAATAGCTCATATTTTTTAAGGCAAGACAATTAATTTTGAAAGGTACTGACCCGCTATAAAACCAAGATGTTTATAATCCATGAAATGATGGCACTCAGAAAAATTCCAATTTTGTTTTTAAAAGGTACTGTCACACAAAATTTCAATATCTTAGTTTCAGATTTTTAATGCTATTAAAAATGAGTATATTTGTTATCTGAGCTCCAATAAGAGAGTCTTCAGTTTGTTCTTAATGCCTTAACAGTTTTTGCTATTACAGAATTATGGATCGTAGTTACCTCTTTTAAATATAAAAATGCCTTTTGTTCCTAGATTGATATTATGACAAACCCATGTGTTACTGATTATAATTGTCCCACAAGATTGTGTTGGTAGATTTGGAAGCAGGAGTGAAATCCACTTCCTAAACAACATACCACTGGAAACTCTATGAACTGTGATCAATGATGATATTTATATAAAGACTTCAGGTCTTTTGTTCATAGGGTTGCTATGAGTTGTGCTGGATTCAATGGCAATCAATAACGGTCTGTAGGGAAGCAGATCAGCAGATATTTCTTTCATGGTGCATCTGGGTGGGTTCAAGTCACCAATCATTAAGTTAAAAAATTAGCCAAACTATTCGACCCAGGAACTTTTTTTTTTTGCATTAAATTATAGAATGTTCCTATAAGGTCTTGAAGGAAGAGATTTATGAATTACGTTCTTATAGGGGGAAAAACACCCAAACCTATACCCAGAATCTTAAGTTCAACATATCTAAAATTCTGTTGATATATATTCACTATAAAAGCTAATGCGAATTTACTCACCCAACGTTATAGTAATATCAATCAATCACTATATATTTTCAGTTCTCAAGGAAAAATTTATTCTTCCTTGCTCACCTCTAGAGAACTCATTGATATTGTTGATCCAGTTTCACTCCTTGAAAGTCCTGCATTATCATCCAACTCAGAGGCCATGAAGTTCTTCACAGCTGTGCGAGGCTCAAAGGGCAAATTCTGCATATGTTCCTGGGGTGCAAGATGCTGCTCTAAGTTCATATTAAATTGGTCTATTACAGGGGGATTCATGTTGAACTCAGGATTAACTTTGTAGTGCAATAGCCTTTCATGCGGCAAGGTGTCCATGCCAATATTCATTTTACTTTCTTCTTTCATTGATGGTTGGGTATTTACAGAACTTCTGGGCATCACAATATAGTCACTTTCCATCATTCTTTCTTGAGGATGGACTATGTCCATATCAGCCCCTCTCAAATTATCATCTGTACATAAGTACACAGTTCTCCGCAGCTCGGTGTTCTCCTTTTTTAAACATTGATTGCTCAGCTCGTTCATACTCATGGGCATGTGCAGACCTGTTGGTTGCTGAATGATGACTTTAGAAATGACATTTCCAGGCAAAGTTGAATAGCTTAGCCCTTCTGGATTTGTTCCCTTTTCTTCCTCATCATCATTTAGAGAAATCCTCGAGAGTGTTCCTGTTATTGTGGCTGCTCGGCAAGGACCAATATCCTTATGAAGAACTGTAAATAAGAATATAAACAATCATTTAAAATCCAACGTATTCTGATTATTTTATTATTATTGTATATTACTTCCTCTATCCCTACAACAAATTTTCTTAATAAATTTTTAAATGATATTAAAAAAAATACATATCTGTTTAGTTGCACACTGCCTAAAACAGGGACCAGGTGTCTCAACCTTCATTTACTCTCATATATTTTCACAGATATTAGTTAAAACATCTGAAAATTGGCTTATGACTTTCTAAAATACTAGTATTTTGTTCTTAAATAATTATGTATAACTTTTTAAAAGAAAAGTGGATTTAATGAGATCAACTTAATTAAAAGAGTTACAAACTTTGGATATATTCATATGAATTTAAGTTTTTCTTAAAGGCTTTTCACCTAAAGTGTTCTAGAAGTTCTATTTATTAACATACTTGAAAGTTCAATGAGAATGTAATCGCATTATGTCAGATATCCCTCCAAACATTATGTATCTTGAAAATTAATGAGCATTTATCTGTTGAAGTTCTTATGGTCAAGGGCAGATGATAGGTTCAAATATTTATTATCTTTAATCTAACATAGAAAAAAAGGAATTTTAAAAAGATCGATTTGTATGCTTAATGTCCTGGAGGGGTATTAAAATAGCCAATGGCATTTAAACAGAAGACATTGCAGGAACCTCTGAAATTTCATTTCTGTTTTCAGCCTGAAATATTGTGATTTGGCAAAAAGTATTACAAGTGCACACACACTGTGTAATGAGAAAACCAAAAGTAAATACAAACCAGATTAAACATAAAAGAAGCCACTCAACAAGAGTTCACAATTTTCATTAACATTTAGCTTAGTTCAACATAAATAAAACTATGCCACTTATATGCACAGACATGATGATAAAGCAGTCATATTTTTAAAAGAAATTAATCAAGTTGTGAAATTTTTTTTTAAAAAAGCAAACAGAAAGAACATAACTTCTGAAGAGTGTTCATAATCAGACGTATATTCCACTCTCTGGAAAAGTGAGATCCAATGTAATAAAGGGAAAGTGTCAGGGTCTATGAATGAAGATTTTCAGATCGGTTATACTTTATCCCGCATAGCACTCTTCAGAAAAAGTCAGAAGCAAGCTCCTTGTAAGCTCAGCTAAAAAAATGGCACAGACAAAAATGTAAACAAAAAGCAATAAAATAATGGCACTGGCATGTCTTCAGAACCTTAAATCTCAGGATAAAATGAAGATATGTAAAATTATGATTTAACAAAAGAAGAGTATATTATCTTGAAGGGATGAGACCACAGGTAGATAGGATTGCTTACTTAACACAATAGGTGTCAAGTTTTCATAAGCATCAAAATAATCTGACAGTTTATAAAATGACTGATTATTATTTCTTGCTATACTCCACACAGTTTTTGTCTTATCCAGTAGATTTCTGGTAGGAGCTGAAAATTTGCTTTTCTAACAAGCTCTCGGGTGATGCTTAATATTACTGGTCTAGGGACCATGATTTGACAATGACTCGCTTAATAGAAAAGGCAGAACTATCTGTTCCTATTTTGCTTTCTATTTACCAAGAAGATTGTAAAGACAGCAGAAGAGGGCTGAAAGCATTTCAGGTGAAAGAACGTGAATTAAATGACTGATCATTTTATGTAAATCTCTGGCTCAGGCAACTTCCGTGCTACCCCTGGAAATATATGGAACATGGAGTCATGACCAGTGATGTTTGACAAGTTCTAAAAAGAGATGAAGCAGGAGCACAATAATTTTATCCAGTAACAAGTCAAGTCTGTACAAACAAAAACAAAGTAGCCAAACAACTCATTCCTGTCAAGTCAGAACTGAGTCCTAACTGCTTCTCCAAAAGGTTTCCAGAGGCTCTAAAAAGCACAGGAGACACCATACAGTATTTGTCTTTTTGTGACTCAGATACTTCACTCAGCATAACGTCCTCCAGGGTCACCCATTTTGAATAATATTGCATGAGTTCCTTGTTTTTCAATGCATCACAGTATTCCATTGTGTGAATATACTGTATGGTGCCACTGTTGTAGAATGAGCCTGACATCAGGGTTGGGGTAAGACTGAGAAAAACTGGATAAATTATGTATACTGCATTGAAGCTGATGAGGGAGGGAACAGTTTAAAAGTAATATATTTTAGGGCATTATGATTATCATAAGACTCTGGAATGAGGGTTACAGAGTGGAGTATACTCGGGATGAGGGTGGGGGCTGTGCGGGAGGATTGTATACCAATGAAAGAGTTTGGCTTTTGCTTTTCAAGGAGAAGAGTGAACTGGTGGTGGGGAGAAAAGCACAACAATGAATTAATGGAAATCCAATATCTTTGTAAATGTTCATTGAAATGAATAAAAAAAGTAATTATCACACACAAAAAAGCAAAGGAGATTGTCCATTGTTCTCTGATGGAGTGCAACTCCTTACCCACTAGGCTATCAGAGCTCCCAGCAAGTTCTAGTCACCATGATATGCGTCAACTTAAATTATCTCCGTACTATTCCTGGAAATATTCTGAACCTTGCAGCACAGTTGAGAAAAACACATAATGCTTGGATAAACATTTTACCAATTTTCAGAAAGTGAAGTGCTACTTTCTGAAAAACAAACACTGGTGAAGCTGTGGCTTGGCAATATTTTGCTTGATGAATAGGAAAGGGCAACTTCTAACTCTATGAGATGCATAATGGGCACCAAATCATGACAATTTTTCTATTGCTATGATCATACTCTGCAAACGGTATTGTGATTTAATTTAGGAATGAAAATATGAGATTAGTCTCTCATATCCTTGTGATTAGGAGAAAAAAATTGTGCCATGAAACCCTTCATAGAATTTTAATAGCTATGCTTTGCATCTGAAAACTACTCTTAATGGGATTCTCACAAAGCAGAGTTAGGAGAACTTTATTTGATATAGGAAGGTTGCATACTAGGTTTCATATCATTCAACTGGTTTATTGCTTATTTGAATGAAGACTTAGAAGCTACAGTTATCGAATTTCAATGACAAATAGATCTTAAAGAAATGGAATATGAAGTTTGAACAAGTAAGATAATAGTAAATACAGATAAAGCCAGGCTAAGTTTGTCTTAAAACCAGAAAATATCTAATATCTTTGGTAAAGAAAGCCCTGAAAGCTCCTATAACATAGGTTATTTTTTTTAAACAGTTGACCAGCAGGTTAATGAAAACTAGATTGTCACTACTATCATGAAATCAGATACAAAGATAAATAATACTAATATAAGGCTCCAATTGGATGAATGTTGGGCCTTACTAACCAGAAAGATGCTGGATAAATGTGTACATGTTGGACATCATAGTTTATAATCATCAGTAAATTGAAGACTACCTGGGGCACTGTCCCTAGAAGGATAAGGAATGAATGGTGAAACATAATTTGCTTTTTCTAGAGTTAAAAAAAAATAAATTGATTGGGTTATATGATAATTGCTTTCAGATAGTTGGAGAATTTTCTTCTTAAATATTAAGTGTTGTTATTGTTAGGTGCCTCTGGGTTGAGTAAAACTCTGAACGGTCTTATGAACAACAGATCTGAACTGTGTCCTGTCCTCTGCCATCCTCACAATCTCTAACACACTTGAGCCCATTGCTGCACTCACTGTGTCAACCCACCTGGGTGAGGGTCTTCTTCTCCCTCACCATCCCTCCACTTTTCCAGGCATGATGCCCCTCTCCAAGGAATAGCTTCTCCTAGCAACATACCCAAAACATGAGAGACAAAGCTTTATTGTCTTTCCCTCCAAGGAGCACTCTGGCTCCACGTTCTCCAAGACATATCTGTTTATTCTTTTAGCATTCATGGGGTTTGAAATATAAAGTGGACACCCTCTATAGTAGAAGGCAGCACTTAGACCAGTAAGTAAAAATAAAAATAAGATTTATTTTCCCCTAACTTAAAGGAGAAATTTTATAACAACTGGAATGAACCAAAAATGAAACATGTAGTCTGTTTTAAAACTCATGAGCCATCTGCTCTGGTGAAGGCTTAGCCTCGGGCTGATGAGCTACCATGAGCGACAGGAGCACTCAAAGGCAAGCTATGTGTATAAACTCTCCATTCCCCTTTCACAGTATAATAACAATAATATATACAAATATACACATACACTCACATATACACATTTCATCCTTGCAACAATTCATATTCTATACACAATAAAACTGAGCCAGAGTGGCTAAATTAACTACAATTTGCTCAACAGCCAAAATCTGTGGGATGCAAGTCTTTCCTCTTCAAGTCAGTGCATTACTGCTATTAACGTACTCCTACTTAATCATTTCTGAATGTCTGTCTTTCTCAATTTCTTTTGCTCAAATTACCTTCTCTTTACACACACACACACACATACACACACACACACACACACTTCTATATTTATAAATGTTCCTAATTGATTCTATTTATCTTTTCACATGAATATACGATGTGAAAATCAGAGCATTTTCTTTAAAATGAAAATCTTTACAAATGATTTAACATTGCTAATGGCTATATTTTCAAAATTCAAATATTCTTACCTGATCGACAAGCAATGTCTACATCCTTTTCAAAGTCTGTCTGTAACAAGAATAATAAGACAGAGAACCATCATTTAATGAAGATCTCAAATGACTTTACCAACCAGATAATCTTAAATTTACACATATGTGAGTAGGCAAAGGAGTTTATTGCTTTGTACAAAGAAATTTTCTCAAACAATAATCGTATTTTTTCCCAAGATGATTTCCTAGAGGCAAAATGTTGAACAGATGGAAACAGAATCCAATTTTAATAAGGTGATATGCTCACAGTTGTCTTTAGTCAGGACACTGATAACCAAGCATAAAAAAAGAAAATAAAATTTTAAGGGTATTCCCTAAGCCATAATAAGATAATTAAAATTTGTAATGTTATGAGAATACTTAAAGAAATGTCTTTTATGTACTTTGTTTTATTTGAAACATTTCATTGGAATACATGGTTTTTCATTTATTACTGTATAGCACAGCTCTATAAAACCCTAATTAGTCAAACTAAAACTTCCAAATTATACATTTTCAATCACCTTTGGCTTTCAAGTTTAGAAATAAAAAAACAAGCAAAAAAAAAACCCAAAAACACAAACCCCAACACCAAACCCTGATTATTACTTGAATTATTTAAATAACACTTGAATAATTTAAATAATGTTAGTCTGGTTAGGTAGTATTAACATTGTTGTTGTTGTTATGTGCCGTCGAGTCGTTTCCGACTCATAGCGACCCTATAAACAACAGCCCTAAATCCTGCTCTATCCTGCGCCAACCACACTACCTCTGACACACCCATCCCAATTACCCCAGTCACCGAGTCAATCCATCTCATAGAGGGTCTTCCCCTCCTGCGCCGTCCCTCCACCCTCCCAAGCATGATGTCCCTCTCCAAGGACCCGTCCCTCCTGGCAACATGTGCAAAGTATGTCAGACGAAGCCCCAGAATCCTTGCCTCCAAGGAGTAGCTTGGTTTAATCCTCTCCAAGATGAATCTGTTTCTTTTACTGGCAGTCCATGGTACATTCAGTACTCTTCTCCAGCACCACAGCTCAAAAGCATCCACTCTCTTTCTGTCCTCCCTAGTCATTGTCCCACTCTCTGATGCATAACAAGCGATTGCAAAGACCATGGCCTGTATCAGGCGCACCTTAGTCTCCAGAGAGACACTGTTGCTTCTGAGTATTTTAGAGAGGTCCCTAACAGCAGACTTTCCCATCGTGATACGCTTTTTGATTTCCTGACTGCTGGTGCCAAGAGTGTTAACTGTGGAGCCGAGCAAACTGAAGCTGTGAACACTCTCAATCTCTTCGTCATCCATCCTGACGCTGCCAATTGGTCCAGTGGTGAGAGTCTTTGTCTTCTTGACATTGAGCCTCAGTCCATACTGAAGGCTGCAGTCCTTGACTCTTCGCAGCAAGTGCATGAGGTCCTCCTCAGTTTCAGCAAGCAGGGTTGTGTCATCTGCATAACGCAGATTGTTGATAGATCTTCCACCAATCCTGATGCCACAGTTCTCCCCATAGAGCCCAGCCTCTCGGATAATCTGCTCTGCATACATGTTGAAAAGGTATGGAGACAGGGTGCATCCCTGGCGCACACCCTTCCCAATTTTGAACCATGCAGTGTTACCCTGCTCTGTTCTGACTACTGTCTCCTGGTCCAAGTATAGGTTTCGCATTAGCACAATTAAATGTTCTGGGATTCCCATTCTTCTCAGAGTCAGCCACAGTTTATTATCATCCACACAGTCAAATGCCTTTGCATAATCAATGAAACACAGATAGACATTCTTCTGGTATTCTCTGCTTTCAGCCAAGATCCATCTAACATCAGCAACAATATCCCTAGTACCACAACCCCTTCTAAACCCAGCCTGGACTTCCGGCAGTTCTCTGTTGATGTGCTGTTCTAATCGTTTTTGGATGATCTTCAGTAGAATCTTGCTCGCATGTGAAATCAATGACACTGTTCTGTAGTTTCCACACTCAGTTGGGTCACCTTTCTTTGGAATGGGAACAAATATAGATCTCTTCCAGTCAGTTGGCCAAGTGGTTGGTTGTTCTCCATATTTCTTAAGTATTAACATTAATCAATTAAATAATATTAAGAATGCAAAACCCTAGAACCAGCAAGAGTTCAGTTATATTATTCTTTTCAAATTTTGTTTTAAACAAGAGGATTATTTTAAAATAATTAAATTAACCCTTAGGGGTAAGTGGTCTGAGACAGTGAGATTTGTTCAGGAGAGAGCAGGGCTCTGAGCTATTGTGTACAGGGTCCTGTGAGTTGTAGTTGACACAATAGCATATAACAACAACAATTACAAAATTAGTCACAGGTGGTTTTTTTTATAGCTTTAAGAGATATTTTTGCTTGATTTTTTTTTTTGGTCATTAACAAGGAAGTGATTTTCCTTTTCTTGTCTTATGTATCATTTAGGCTGTTTTTGTTTCATAATCCAAAAAATGAGTAAGTTATCTAATAAAAAATTCTGCAACTTTCAGTGGCAAGCAACTTAAATCTCACCCAATTTGTAAGTTATATCACTGAAGTAAATACTTAGTAGTAGAGCAATAGTCAGAGCCCATACACAATGACCTGCCTTTCACTGGAAGGGTGAGTATCCCTTATACTTTAGAGCAGTGGTTTCCATCTTGGACTGTACATTGCAAATGCTGATACACTAATAGCTAGGCTTCAGCCCCAGATATTCTTACTTAATTAGCTCTTCTGATAATTCTAATGTGCAACTAAAGCTGAGAATTTCTGCTTAAACAGTTCTGATGTATAGGCTTTTGAGAAATAAAACACAAATATGACTCTCTAGATAAATTGTTATCCTTAATTCTCTACAAGGATGAATTACTGTGCTATGTTACATAGGACCTCCAACACTTAATGTCCCAGAGGGCCCATATCAGATTCTGGATTCCAAGCAAGAGATTTCTAAGTCTGTTCATAAACTACAGCCAAAGTTGCTAAAAAAATGGGCTTGGGTATTATTTTGTTAATAACATATTTATTTATTCCCTTGGGAAATAATAACTTAATTAACAATTAATTGAAAGTAAAAGCTCACCATTATTTGAGCATGCCCATTGGGAAAAGAACTTGAAGAATCAGCATTGATTGGATCCTGACAATTTCTCAAACGGCATCTAAATGCATCCTGAACCTGTAGTGGAAAAAGGACAAACATTAATTTTCTTCTTAGATGATGACTAACCATGTATCAAAGCCAATCTTAGTGAGAGAAGACAAAACAGAACCGGCCAATAGAATTTCAAAGACTGAAATCTTTCTGGAAGCAGAAGGTGATATTATTTTCTCACACAGTGACCAATGAGTTCAAACCCTCAATCTTTCCGTTAGCAGCCTCCCACTTTAACTACTGTGCTACCAACACTTGTTTTGATGATAACTAGATATGGTCTATATTGGCAATAATAGTGCAAAATGGATTATTATTGCACTGCTTATAAGATCAAATTTCCATTTTGTTTACTTTTACATGCAAATATGTGTAATTGGACTTTGCTCTAAGCTAAGGAATATTATAGCTTGCAACAATTTATTTCATTCTATTTTTCACAGGGTCACTATGAGTCAGAAGTAACTCATTGGCACATAACATCAACAACATAATCTATAAAGGAGAGTGCCAGGAACACCTCAGCTATTAGGGTAGTTTTATCTGGCTCAATACTAATAATTCTAGCCAGAAGGCAGATTTATTTCCACTGCTGTAAACAATATGTGTGTCTTTTTTGGAAGATTTACTCTTTGGCACAGCATAATCTTCATAACACCTTGACACCTTTAAGCATCATGAAAAATGACATTACTCTTTGATTTTTTTTACTGGAATAGATTAGAAATTTTCCTTTTATCTTAGGTAAGAAATCTTTTGGGAGCCTTTTTTTTCTCATCAGGGCTATATATCTTTTGTAAAAACAAACCAAAATGAAATAAAAGAAAAAACAAAAACACACAGTTCTATTTTTGGTTATTGTCTTGGAAAAACAAAATCATTTAATAAAGCCAAGCTCTGTAAATATTCATTTACTAAAGAACAAATACATTGCACAAAAGTGTTGAAGAATAATTCCTTTATTAGCTTTTAAACCAATAAATATGAACCGCTGACTAGAAAACTCACTAAAATCAGATATATATTCTACTATTTTAATATATATTATTATATATATTATGTTGTTGTTGTTATGTGCCATTGAGTCTCCTGCGACCTATAGTGACCCTATGTACAGTAGCTCTAAACCATGCCCTGTCCTGAGCCAGTCACACTGACTCCAACACACTTAACCCCATTGCTTTAGGAACTATATCAATCCATAAAATCCATGCTTCTTTCCACTTTCTGTGGTCATTAAGCTCCTCAGAATCTTTTGGAAGTCATCTTCATAATTTGCTACTTGTCATACATAGAGTTGGCAAGAGAATTTTACTAAAACTTTGATTTCCTGATTTACACTCTTGTATTTCTTTTCATCTTCTTGGTAATCTGTTTTATTGGGTTAATAAGAGCATAGAGGTGAGGGCTGAACAATATGATGTACATAATTAATGTCACTAAACTATACAGATGAAGCCTACAGAAATGGAAAATGTTCTGTTCACCTATATACCAATTAACAAAAAGAATTTTTAAAAAGCATGTATCATGCTTAATTTCTTCTATTTTACTGAAGCATCATTCTAGAAACTTCCCTGGTAAACATGCAAATGATGTTTACTTTTGAAAGAAGGACTGATAGAAAATATTCCATCACCATTTTGATGTGAGATGTACACAGCAGATATACTGGCCAAAAAAGCAGAACAAAATGGAATATATTAAGCTGTTTAAAAGCTTCCTCCTTGTTTTCTCGCCCATTCAATGGTTATTAGCAGCTTCTTTCCCAAATTGCAGAATTTGGAAGGTGACATTGAGTTAAGTCACCACCACTGAATTCTGGGTCAATTAAGTCACTAATGAGAGCTTTGTTTACATCCATTTCTCCATCTCATGTTCCATTACTGGAGATGTAACTACTATAAAGGAGAGTATAAATGGATTCAGAGTTCTCTTCAGTCTCTTTTAATTTATGATTCTAGTATTTCTAAATCCAGTATTTCCTTGAGAAAGACCGAGTATCCTGTTAAACTTCACCAAAATAAGTTCTTAAATTCTACTTTTAAACACTTTAGTACAAGTACCAAAGCAAGACCAAACCCACTGTACAAGAGTCAGTTCTGACTCATGGTTCTAAGGCTATAAATCTTAAACAGAAATAAACTGAATATTTTTCTTCTGCAGACTGGCTGATAGTTTCAAACCACTAGTCTTTTGGCTAGGGAGCTCTGTAGGCCTAGTGGTGGGAAGCTGCGCTGCAATCCCAAAGGCGCTTCGTTTGAGGCCACCAGCTGCTGCGTGGGAGAAGGATAGGGACTCTCCTCCCATGCAACTGACTGCCTCCGGAAACCTATGTGAGGGTCAGCTATGGGCTGGTTCTGACTCAATGGTATCAACAGTCTTTTGGCTAGTAGTTCAATAGGTAGCCCACTATACCATCAGGGCTAGTTCAGTAAAAGTATGTTATTATTAGTGGGAATGTAAAATGGTGTAACCACCATGGAAGGCAGTATGGCACTTTCTCAAAATGTTGGAACTAGAAATACCATTTGACCCAGGAATTCCACTACTGTGACTATACCCTAAAGAAAACAGAACTGCAACCCAAGCAGATATATGCTTACCCATGTTTACTGAGGCTTTGTTCACAACAGCAAAGAGCTGGAAACAACCCAAGTGCCCATCAACAAAAGAATGGATAGAGAAGCTGTGGTCTATTCACATAATGGAATACTATTCAGCATTGAAAAACAAGGAACTCATGATATATTATACAAAATGGGTGGCGCTGGAGGAAATTATGCTGAGTGAACTATCTCTGTCACAAAAGGACAAATACTGCATAGTGCCACTGTTATAAAGTTGTACTGACATCGGAGTTGGGGAGGAACTAAGAGGGGATAAATAATGTATACTGCATTGAAACAGATGAAGGACAGAATTGTTTAGGAGGAACAGATTATTAGGAATTATTGTCATGACAAGAATCCAGAATGAAAGCTGCATAGTGGAGTTGACTGGGTGTGGGGTTGTATAACAATGAAAGAATTATTTTTTTTTTAACTTTTCAAAGAGAAAAGTGGACTGGAGGGGCCAGGAGGAAAGTGTGCAACAATGAATGAATGGAAATCCAAAATCCTTGCAAACTTTTATTAAAATAAATAAAGAAAATAATAAAAAAGTATGTTATTATTTTTTTGTTAAGCACCACTGAGTTGTCCACTTCCATAATAGCTTGCCTCTGGAAATCCTATGAACCTGGAGAGAGGATGAGAGGCACCCAAGTGTCGAGGACTCTTCCTTTATAGTGTTGCTATGAGTCGCCTGCAACTTAAGAACACTTAAGAACAACAACAACCACTGAGTTAAGTATAATTCATAGCAACAGGTCTGAACCCTGTTCTATCCTTGCATTCTCATAATTTCTGACACAGTTGAAACTACTGCTACAGTCACTGTGTCCATATCATTGAAGAGTTTTCTCCCTCTCTTTAACTCTCTCCCCTTTCAAAACGTGATGTTCCTTTCCAAAGAATAGCCACCCCTAAAAACATACCGAAAGTATCTTAGATGAAGCTCCACCATCCTTCTTCTTAAAAGCACTCTATCTATACTTGCTCCAAAATATTATCTGTTTGTTCCTTGACAGTACATTGACAGTACTCTAATCCAACATCACAACTCAAAGGCATCAATCTTCTGTTATTCATTGCCCAGCTACCAAATGCATAGTGACTGAAAAGACCCTGCCTTGAATCAGTTGCACCTTAGTCCTTAAATTGACACCATGCTCTTCATACTTTTTATAAACCTAGTGAAATCAATGATCGCCTTTTCCTGAAAAACTGGATAAATATTTGTGATTACATAACCAGATCCTCCCTATGAAGAAGATACTGCAAGGACAAAGTCTTGCTGAATGCTTTCAGGCTCAACCTTTCATATTAAGAAGTCATACCTAGAGGTTATAAAGTGACTCAAATACTGGAGTGGTAGTGTACTCATAGCTGACCTTCTAGTGAGTTTGCAGAGACTGTGAGTAGCATAGGAGGAGACTGCTTATCTATCTCCTGAGGAGCTGCAGTTGGATTCCAATTGGCCATCTTTTAGTAGTGCAACTCCCTACAGAGTATGCTAACAGAGCTAGTTACAATAAAAATGCTAATGATTTTAGTGTTTGCAAGATCATCATCTTTCTGTTCTACAGAAATACCAAGGAAACACTAAGAAAGCACATCTTCTTTTAGGAGAAAAAAAAATCCAAAGAATCAATCACAGAAAAATAGGTATAGGCTCATTTTCTATTTGTGCCCTGAAGCAACTCTTAAAGAAGCACATTTATAAGGGAAGATAAATAATACGTTAGAAATATTGACTTCTGGGAGCTTGTCACATCAAGATTTTTCTCTTCAAATCTACTTCTAAACACTAGTATACACACAATAAGAAACGTGACACTTAGTAATACCAAACATTCATTTAACTGGTCCTTGCTAACCACAATCTATTTTCAGGCCTTCAAAGCATAGCTGTCAAGGATATTTCTGGCTGACAAGGAAATATGAAAAAGCAGCTTCTGTAAGTTTCTTTCAATCCTATCCTGTTGGGTTTTTTTTTTTAAATCTCCTTCAAGATTTTCTTTGCTTAAAGGAGTTATAAAATAAATCGTACCTTTTCAGTACACATAGGCATGCGTACACACACACACACACACACACACACCCCACACTAAATCAATACCTTGCCCTACCAAATATGACAATGGATTAAGGACATTTCTACACTGGAGACTGGTATTAACCTGATGAATCAGTCAATACTGCTTAGAAGAAATATAAAACAGAAAAGCATAAAAATTCTCCAGTAAATTCAAGACCATTTTAATAGCCATATAAATGTCATAATTTAACTTTTAAACTTTATGACACTTTTAGAGCCTCTGATACCTCTAATTCAGATAGATTTGAAGAAGAAATTATATTTGATTCAGATGGTCTCATTTGACTTTTTTTTTTTTTAAGTTTTTAAACTGCATAGGGGTA